TCAAATCTAAATTCTGTCGATAGGGGCGTAAAAACACCTTCGTTCAGATTTTTTTTTGCGAGGCGCAAAGGCTGGGGAAAGGGAAAGGGGTGAGGGTTGGGGGGGGGGGGGTAAGACGAGACTCCTCACGAACTGCTGGATGTATGATGAAATCTTCTGTGTGTGTGTGTGTGTGCCAGTGATTAATTGATTTTGTACGAGTGCGTGTTTGTCTGTTTCTATTTTTACCTTCTGTACCATCAACTTTTTGTAAACTTATCCACTGGTTGATACGCTTCCCTCAACAGGTGCAGTGCCTGGTGACATGGCATTGGTTTTACGACTTTTTCAACGTAGCTGACTTGTTTAATATGCGGTGTCGCGAGTCCAATGTCAGTATTCAATACCACGAGTTATATAAATTGGAGAGGGGCTCAGAAAACTCTCATAATAAGTGGGCGGTTGGCGGGGGCCCTGGTGTGATACATGCATGCTTCTTTCCTATCAAATGTCTATCACCCCCCTGGGGTGGTGCCACTGACTGAAGTGTCTTTAGGTCATTCCTAAAGGAGGGACATTTCTCGTTCTAATGCACAGTAGAATTGTAAATTGGCTGATCCAACCATGTCGTGCTCATAACTGTGCCTGAACTACAACAGGGAACTGCTGCTTTTTCTTTCCAAATCCTTACTATCGTCATTTTCCTTTACTTCTTTTGTATGTTTGTCACACTCTTGTGACCCTCTATTTCCGGGGTGCCTTGATAGTCGAAGCGGACTTTGTGCTGTTGAAGCTAGAGAGTTGAGCAGAGTAAGTCTGATTCCCTGTAAGGACTTCTCTGTTGACTCCCACCCCTTGGCGCTCATATGACCTTATGCAGTTGCGAGCGCCGAAAAACCTCTACTAAAACAAACAAACGAACGTCTATCGTCCTTATCTCTCCTTTTTTGCGTATGTTAATCTCCAGTAACACGTCACGTCTTAAACCCTTATGATGGCGCTCATATGACCTTATGCAGTTGCGAGCGCCGTAAAACTTCTACAAACACTAAAACTAAAAAACCGTTATGTGACATAATATGTGTTGCTCAGACTCATTTGTATCGTAATTCAGCGTGGTACCAACGGAGCCATCGGCGCACCCATATTAGCCTTTATCCATGCGGAGAGTAAAATATAATATCAATATGTTTGGTTCTGTTTCTGTTTCTGGCCACCGCTTGGTACGCTTCAGCTAACATATTATTATGGCTCCATGGGGACGGTAAAATAAAACAGAATTCCATCGGTTCTATATTCACCTGCTCCCCATCTTATCTTTATGTTTACTTTATTGGTCCCCCCTCCGCCCGGAGGAGAATAATTCGGAAAATGTATCCACTCGACAGCCGTCTCATGATTCATCCCTGCTCACATTACCGCCGCCGCTGGTAGCGCTGTCACTCGCTGTCGTTGTTGTTGAGCGGAAAGTGTGAAAACATACCACTTGACACGATGCGGTCTTTTCATAGACTTGAATTATAATATTATCCTGGACCGGGTACTGTTTTGGTCGACGCTCTTTGCTTTCTTATAAAAAGTTCTCCTCGCTGGTGCGCGCGCATCATGGGCGTGCGAAGGGTGAGCAACACGTCAGTATCGTTATAGTCAAGTGCGCGTGTGACCGTTCCTCACTTGCCCGTCATTTGGTTCCAAGTCCTCGGTCCAGTTTTGTTCACCGTTTATACTCAACCACTTGTCTAGGAAACAGTGTATCATTTCTATGCTGATGATACCCAAATTTATGGTTCACCAGTGTTTACCAACTTGGATGAACGTGTCCATCGTGCTGAAAATTGTATTGCCTCAGTGAAAAACTGGATGAACAAAAACAAATGGATGTTGAATGATGATAAAACAGAAGTCATTCTGGCAGGCAATGCAAAGTCTGTTAAAGAGGTTGGCCACGATCACATGACAATTGGTGATGCGGAAATTGCATTTTCAAGAAAAGTTAAGAATCTTGGCATCTATTTTGTTTCCAGTTTGTCAATGTCGGCTAAGGTAAATCATCTGATCAGCTGCATGTATTTAGAAATAAGAACAAATAGTAAAATACGTCATCTGATCAATACTAAGTATACTGCTTTACTAGTAACTTGCTTCATTTTTATCAAAACTCGATTATTGTAACTCCTTGTTATCAGGAATATCACTTGAGAAAGTTAAAAGACTTCAAACTGTCCAAAACAATGCTGCACGTTTAGTTTTATTGAAAAGAATGCGAGACTCTGCTTAACCTCTTTTACGGATATTGCATTGGCTTCCTGTTGAGAAAAGAATTGTGCACAAGTTGGCCACCCTATGTCACAAATGTTTGAATGATAATGCACCACCATATTTTTCAAATCTGTTAAGACTGTACATTCCAACTTCCAGTTTAAGGTCATCAGCTGACAAAAGAAATTTATTTTGCCATCTATGAAACTTAAAACAATGGGTGAAAGGGCATTTGAATACCAAGGCCCCAAGATCTGGAATGCTTTGCCAAATACTTTAAGAGAGATCAAATCTTTTGATTCATTCAAATGTCAGCTGAAGTCCTTTCTGTTTTTAAATTAATAAGATGGATATTTGGAGTAATTTTCTTTTAGCCAGAACACAACGTTTTATGTTACTGTTGTACGTTGTACTGTATTGTAAAGCGCTCAGAGCCTGTGTACTTTAATCGGGATTGAGCGCTATATAAATGTCATTCATTATTAAATAGAGTCAAATGGTGCACTTCTCGATGAACCGGAATTAATTCAGAATGTACGGTCTTGGATATTAAAATTCAAGTCTATGGTTCTTTGTGATGGACGAAACGGGATAGAAAGAAATTTCTTTACGACAAGTCTAGATTAATCGAGATTGCTCAATGCTTCAGGAAAAACAAAACAAGCAAAGGGGAATTGTTTGGTTTGTGATGATGATGATGATGATGATGATGATGATGATGATGATGATGATGATGATGATGATGATGATGATGA